ATTTCTCCAAATCTGATGAAGAAACAAACTCATCTACATCTAGGAACGCCTGTGGGTGAGTAATTTTTCAGCAAATTTTAATTTTCGAGTGAATTATTTCTTTAATTGAGTCTGTCTTCTGATGCGTTTCAGCTCTGGGTTTCGTCCTGTGTCTCGTTCTCTGTGCTGCTGTCCCGTCGCACCCAGATGTCCTCACCGGGCACCTGCTCATCCACACTGGCCACCGACATGGCACACTGCTTCCCTAAATGAGACAGCTTGGCATGCTGGGATTTGTAGTCCTTCTTGCCGTCCTCTTCCTCCTCTTCTTCCTCCTCAGCCGTGTCTCCCTCCAGCGAGAGGGCGGAAAGGGGACCCTCCACGTCCAGATCGGTGGAAGGGCTCAGAGCGGACTGGCAGAACTCGTCGTCGTCGCTCAGGATGTCTGTTTCCTTCACGTCCTGTTCCTGCTCCTCGTAGCGCTGAAGGTCGAACTGTTCCTCCACCCAGCGGTCGGTGTCGCCCGCCGGAACGATGCCCTGCTGCTGAGCATGCTGGGAGTCTGGCGAGTCGCTGTCAGGCTCGGTGTCGAAAACAATGTCTGTGTCGATGGTGAAGCGGTTCCGCACCAGTTTCCTGCGGCCCAGAGTGCGAGTCGGGGCAGAGACTGAGAACATACAAATACATGAGCATCACTAACATAGTTTACACAGAGATCTGACATTATAATATATAATGTATAAAATTTAGATTATAATATATAAAATATGATTACCATTTAAGATTGTTTTCTATGTAAATATACTGTAAAATGTAATTTATTGCTGTGATCAAAGCTGAATTTTCAGCATCATTACTCCAGTCTTCAGTGTCACATGATCCTTCAGAAATCATTATGCCGATTTGCTGCTCAGAAACATTTCTGAATATTATCAATGTTGAAAACAGTTGTGCTGCTTGATAAATAGATTCAAAAGAACAGCATTTATTTGAAATAGAAACATTATAAATGTCTTTACTGTCACTTTTTATCAATTGAATGTATTCTTGCTGGATAAGAGTATTTCTTTGTGTGTACCTGCTCTGTTCATGGCCGGTCTGGCTCCTTTAAGGGCACACAAGCGTTTTCCTCCGAAAGGAACATACTGCTGACTGAGAGGAAGACTTTCCGTCTTCAACAGCTGACGGCGCTGTTTATCTCTCAGGATGGAATGAACCATCTTCAAGAAGTCTTTCTTACTCTCTGGAGAGCTGCAGACACAATTTAAGATACAAATTTGCACAATGATGTCAGTTTATTATTCATGTTGACTTTGAATATATGTTCAAAATCCAATGCTCTAAAAATGGGTCAGCTAAATATGGTTTGTTTTTGTAGTTCACATAACAATAACAAATGTGCATTGAGGCTGTACAAGGCTCCTCCACCAGATGGTGACAGAGAGATTTTTCCCCTCATTGTTTTAGTGCCAGAGACACTGACCTGCAGCAGAGCTGAAACACTCTCTCTGGTCTTCCCTCTGATTCAGACTTCACATGGATGATCTCACACACGGCTGCACTCTCTCCATCTGAAACCACACACTATGATCAGCTCCGTTTACCTCTATAGGGTCTGACATCATCATGTATTGGTTTGTTTTGTGTGTGTTGACGGGGTCACAGGTGAGCTTACCTGTATTGGACAGTGTGCGCACTTGAAGCGCATCAGTGGGGATTATGTGACGGAAACGGAACGGATCTTTCTCTTCACCTGAGACTGATGCTCTGTGAGAACCACCCTGAGAAACAGAGACAGATGCGTGAGAAAAATGTCATTACTTCATCACTTTGATCGGGATCAGGGTGTGAACGCTGTACGATACTGCACCAAACAAGAGCATGAATACAACAGCCAGTTAACTGCTGAATACCTCTGTAAGCCCATGAAAAGAGGGAGCGAGAGAGAGGGTTGTGTTTGGGCGTAACATCCACAGCCAAAATATTCAACTGCTCTGATAGTGGATCACAACACTCACCATTTTCTTCTTCTGCTTGGAGTAATCCTTACAGATGAACACTACAGCCGTTTTGAACACTGGAGGAGAAACATATAACATTACACTTCAGTTCACTTCAGAAACAAAATGACATATCTCTCTGTCTGTCTATCTATCTATCATGAGTTGAGGTTGTATGGAAACAGAACATACCGAATGTGGCCAGCTGTGGCTCTTTCTTGCACTTTCCCAGTGAGGAGGACGGGTTGATCCATGTCACACTGGTGTGGAGGAGTAAATCTCCCATAGACAAGTCAGCAACCTGTAATCATAGCAGACGCCACCGTTAGAGCTCGCACAACACACATAGCTCGCAATCTGCAATCCAGAAGGGATCTTGTCTGTCCCTGGCTACATGGTTGAGAGATACAGTCACATTATGCAACTAAAGTTTCACTGCATTCACATAATAAGATTTAAATGTGCAGACAGATGACAGTAAATCCAGGAATAAGTAAGAAAATATGATCTGTTTTAAATTTTGATCAGCTGCAGAGCATGAAATGTGGTTGAAAATCTGAGAACCAAGTTCTGTATTATCCCAAGCTACACTTACATGCAAAAATAAAGAGTGAACTGACACCATATTTTACAATATTATTTTGATATTGTTTTATATAATAGTTGCATAAACATAAGTTAATACTGAGCAACTCGCATTTTAGAAAAAAGATCATTTAAAATCATAAATAATCAATGCACTAGGGCTGCACGATATATCGTTTCAGCATCGATATCACGCTGTGCGCACCAGCGATAGTCACATCGGTTAATACTGAGCAACTCGCATTTTAGAAAAAAGATCATTTAAAATCATAAATAAAAATGCACTAGGGCTGCACGATATATCGTTTCAGCATCGATATCACGCTGTGCGCACCAGCGATAGTCACATCGCAGGATGTGCGATGTTTAGAATACTGATCGTTATATTATACTGATCGTTTTCTTTGCTCATACACAGACACTGTGTCTACACCGGACGTGTCACGCCATCCCGTGCCGCAACAGCTAAAGTCTGTCTACACTGAGACCTTTGCAAATCATTTGAACTTTGTGCCAGTATGTCATAAATAGAACGAGGCATCAGTTTACTGTCGGGGACTTTACTTTCGTGTCTATTTGTGCCTGAAATGACACATACGCATGAAATTATGTCAAAATGCATGTCTCTGCAAGTATCCTTGTAAACACAGTTGCTTATGTCTTAGGTGAAGGTAAACAACTGAGAAAGAAAACGGATGTGTAACGATATATTCACAGCAGTTTAATGTTCCTGAGGCTTTCTGAGTCATGAAAGTTTCACTTTTGTAGCTTTAACACAATTTAAATACAATTTATTGAATTAAATTTATACAGTGAAGACTATGCAGTGTTATTTTACATTTGATTATTCAATTTCTGTACCTGAATACTGTTAGAATTACCTGAAAAATATAAAGCACTGTTTATTTAATTTGTATCTTTGTTCTATTATATTTATCTATGCTTGTAATTTGTTTATTTTCTATGTTGATTTACTCACCTACAAAATCACCCCAATCATTGATAATTGTTTTTCCAAATAGAGCTATTCAAGTCATCTGGTGATTTTTTTTTCATATCGCAATATATATCGCAGAAAAACAAAATATCGCAATGCGAGCTTTTTTCTATATCGTGCAGCCCTACAATGGACCCAAAAGACCATAGTTAATATTGATGCCAAATAATGAATTGGGATTGGACATGTGGAGTGATGCAAACAGTAAAACGTTGCTTGTCCAGTGAAATTAGTCGCCTGGATTTAAACTGATGTAAAGTTCACAAACCTCTTTCTTGTCTCCAGTCTGTTCAGAGATGAGGAGGTCAAAGACGGCTCCAAACTCCTCGTGGATCTTCTGCATCTCGTTGATGTGACTGGCAACTGTGTTCATGGCTTTCATTGCAACTACAACAGCAGAGAAAATAAATTATATATCAGTTATATGTCAATTATATAGCAGTGCATTCAGAGAGTTGGTTGAAACATAAGACTTCAGATTGATGGCTTTAAAACAGATCTCCAGTTATAACATCTTATTTGGACAATACACTACACTTTTTTAAAGAAATGAATACATTTAGCAAAGACACATTAAACTGATGACAGTAAAGACATTTATAATGTTACAAAAGATTTCCATTTCAAATAAATGCTGTTCTTTTGACTTTTCTGTTCGTCAAAGAATCCTGAAAAAAATAAATTTATCATGGTTTCCGTAGAAAAAGTGAAGCAGCACGACTGTATTCAATATTGATAATAATCAGAAATGTTTCTTAAGTAGAAAATCCGCATATTAGAATGATTTCTGAAGGATCATGTGACACTGTAGACACTGAAAATTCAGCTTCGCATCACAGGAATAAATTACATTTTACAATATATTACAATAGAAAACAGCTATTTTAAATTGTAATAATATTTCACAATATTACCGTTTTTACTGTATTTTTAATCAAATAAATGCAGCCTTGGTGAGCATAAAAGACAAAAAACATTAAAAGCAGCCATATGAAGCAGTGTCTCTCACCGTTCAGATGGTAGTGCTCCTCGCTGTCGGGGTCTGTGAGCGAGTGCAGTTCTCTCAGGAGCAGAGGGTACTTCAGCACTCTCTGGATGGGTTTGATCAGGTATGACTCCAGTGTGGACGAATGCTGCTGTTTGGGGTTGCGCTCGTCCAGAAACGCCTTGAAGGCCGTGTCTGTTTTTGCTGGAGAGGACACAAACACAGGAAGATGTGATTATGCTGTCACACGACTGATAGCGATAGAAAGGGTAGCATTTGTTATGCTTTTCACAATACAGCGCAAAATGTTTTCAAGCACATTAAGTTCTTTAAATTACTGGAAAACACTGTTAGGTAGCCATCACAAATCTGCAGGATCGACGTTAAATACTAAAAATAGCCAGCGAGGGGAAGCAGACCAACCTCACAGACACCCACACACCGCAGCAGGATTGTATTACACACCTGAGATTTACAGACCCCCAGGTGCCCGGCTCTGTGAAAATCCCAGAATTGACTGTCAGCTGAGAGTTACGTACCTTTGACCAGCACTTTGGGCACTTTGGTGTGGCTGGCACAGAAAGCGCTGTAGATCTTGAAGCGGTCGGCGTAATACAGGAACGAGCCGCCCAGAGAAAAGAGGATTTTCTGTAAGACGAGAGGGATTTTGAGAGAAATACATCAGCTATCATGGTTTGCGTTGGATAAATCTTGTTATGAATGCCTGTGAGTGATGCACTGCAACTGTAGCGTCTCAAAAAACATGGTATTATTATAACACGTACAAAAAAACATGGTATATGCCCCAGAAGAGCCCCAAACCTTGAACTCTTCTACTCGCTCCAGTTTCTCCAGGTCCGGCACCAGTCGGGTTCCGTCTTCCAGAGTCTTCAGAAACTCCACCTGAAACTCCAGCATCTCCGGGAGGTTTCCGAACAGCACGTCCAGCTATCAGATACACATGCAGGATTGAACTGAATGTGGTCAAAACTTGTAATAGTTAAAACTATAAAAATTTTGTAAAATAATTGTTCACTTCAGCAGCTTCATGTAATTTAATGTTATTAAATTCTTAAATTCTTTAATCTGTGTACTTAATTAGTTTTTATTTGTATGTTTTTTTTATTATTTGGTTTTATTTTAAGTTTTGTTAGTGTTTTTAAAATTTTTATTCATTTTTTTAAATGTTTTTCTTAATTTTTATTTCAGTTTTAAGCTTAGTTATATACACACACACACACACAAATAATATAAACATATATATAATATATATAAAAATCTCCATATATACAAGGTTATATATATGTGACCCTGGACCACAAAACCAGTCATAAGGGTCCATTTTTCGAAATTGAGATGTATGCATCACTTGAAAGCTAAATAAATAAGCTTTCCATTGATGCATGGTTTGTTAGGATAGGACGATATTTGGCCGAGATACAACTATTTGAAAATCTGGAATCTGAGTGTGCAAAAAAATCTAAATATTGAGAAAATCGCCTTTAAAGTTGTCCAAATGAAGTTCTTAGCGATGCATATTACTAATAAAAAATAAATTTTTTATATATTATATTTTAAGTTACCATTATAATTTTTTATTAATAATTTGAATTAGTTTTTATTGTTAATATCATACTTTCTCTTTTCATTTTAGTTAAATTATCATTTTTAAATAATTGTAGTTAAAGTTTTTGTAATTTTTTATTTTTTTTTTAAAATACATTTTTATTTTAGTGCATAAAGTTAAACTAAATGAAAATTAGAAATGTTGGAAACTACCTCAAATGAAAATAGTTTTTTATATTTTATTTTATTTCAGTTGAAGCAAGTTTTTATTTTATTTTTTTTTTTTTAAAGTTAACTATAATAACTCCGATTGGTTCAAAGCACTGATTTAATGAATCATTTGAGTTATCACTCAAAACTGTTCACAGAGATCCTGAATCATTTTTCAGTACCATTTTTAAGTGTTTTAGTAAAAAATACATGTAGCACATGTTGCTGTTTATGAGGATACATATTAAAACTGATCCATATCAAAAAATGATTAAATATTAGGCTTCAATGTTAGAACAGAAATTATTTTGAACAGAACAATATTTTTACTGTATTTTACATGCAGTATTTAAAAAGGTACTTGTAGACTGTGGCTGTTTAATCAAAATTATGGGTTAAAAAAATCAAGCCATATATACATAAATACATATACAATTTTTTTTAATGGCTTTAGTTTGAGTTAACTATACTAGTATATAATATATATGTATATGCACAAAAGCAGTCTTAAGTCGCTGGGGTATATTTTTAGCAATAGCTTTAATTTTACTTCAATATCAAATGTAAGTTAAATTGTGAAAATGTTTAGCTTAATGTCTGTACCTAAAAAAGTATATAATATGACATAAAATAAGCAATTTTAAATATATGCATCGACAATATATACTGCTCTCCAGATACTGTATTTGTATCAAGCCTTTAAGAGACTCCATATTGCTCAAACTACATCTCTTTAGTGTCTGCACTGCTGCATAATGAGCTCAGCTCCCATATGTAGGGCATTAAAGGAGCAGAGACACAGAGAGAAGATTGAGAACTTCCTCTCTTCTGTCTGATGTAAGTTTTCCTCGTTTTGTGTCTCCCTCCCACTCTCCTCTTTACCTCTTCTTTCTTGTGTGTGTGTTTGTCTCTGTCTCTGTGTCCTCCTACACGCTCCTCTCCATCAGTATGATTATGAAATATCATTCTGTGTTCTGGAGGTGTGTTCCAGCTCTATAATAACATGAAACCATCAGCAGCGCTTCGACTCACCTCATCCTGAGTGAGGAAAGACTCCTTCTGCAACGGGGTTAAATATCGCCCAATCAAATAGTTCAGATCCTGAAAAAGTGAGAGAACACACACAATAATATTCAAGAACAGCCTATGAACAACATGTAGAGTATTAACAATATATTTGACCACTTTCATGGCTGTTTAATGACCCTTCCATTTAAAAGAACTGGTTCCAATTTTTTTAAATATATAAACAATTTCTTCAGCTATATTGCTCAGCCTCATCACACACTCATGTCAGGTTTCATTTCTGCTGGGGTGCTTCATTCAGACTGTAGATTTAGTTCTTTGCTCAAACAGGCAGATGAATCCGAACACACCGCACATATTCCCAGCGCCGGGCAGGATGTTGGTGAAGGTGTAACTGTAATTTCAGCTGTCCTCAGAGAGACGGGAAAATACTGTCACGGCTCTGTCGTTAATCTCAACACAGCGAGCAAACATGTATATTGTAGAAAGAATCCAGCAAGATCTGGCAACACCGAGTCAAAACGTATCCTGTGAATTCTTGCACTGCACATACAGAAACAAAACTCTGATATGCATTTAAATACATCATTAACAACTACTTTTTCAATTCAGTTTTATATTCACTGTATATAATTTCTGTAAATTCTGTTGTCACTACCTGCATTTTTCAGGAATGAATTCAGTTGTAGAATGCAATTGTCACTCCCATAAATTACTGAAATGTGTGTGTGCAGAACAGCATTAAGCATTAAATGGTGAATTGTATTTAGCTGCAGTGTGTACATGACTAATATCTTCTTTTGTGTTCCATAGAAGAAGAAAAAAATGACAGTTGTCTTTTTTAGGTGAACTATCTCTTTAAATGTACAATAAAGCACACCGCATAGATTTCTGTGAGGTCATGTGACAAACTGCTGTTTTAAATCACGGCGTTCTGTTTTAAATGCTAGTTTTAAGGCAGTATGTACTACGCAGTATGCTAGTATTCCATTTCAAACACTGCCAAAGAGTGAGTGGGTGCAGAAAAAGGCAAGCCAAGGGGACAATTTCTTTCCCTCCAGGCCTCGACTCGATGAAGGGCACAAACTTATGTTTAAGTCTAACACACAGACGAGCATGTCTGACTAAAAACACACACACACACACACACTGGTACTGACTTTGACATAGGTGCGCTCCGTCTCCACAAGTTCGCAGATGACTTTGCGGAGTTTGTCGGCATCGGAGAGCTGGCGTGGAGTGGCGTTGCTCGGAGGGAGCGAGGAAGACTCCGGGCCGGACGAGGAAGAGACAACCTCGGATGAGGGATTCATCTCGTGCAGACTGCGGCAGAAAGCTGCAACCTGCTCCGTACTCTACAGAGAGAGAAAGACAGTGATGAAGAGTGAGACATCTGACAGTCCTGTGCTGTTATTACCACACACACACACACACTCCCGCTGCACCTGCAGCTGGATCCCGCTGCTCAGATGCCTGTCAGAATGAAGAATGCTATAAAAATCATTAGCACTCATTTGCTCTATTTTCAGCCTCTCCTCTCCTCCATCACTCCATCTTTTTGGCTCTCTCTCTCCATCCCTCCCTCCCTGTTCTTCTGAAATGTCTTCATTTCTTTTGAACGGCAACCAAAACATGAGCACCTGTCCATGGATGCGGTTGCTATGGGAACGACTGGGATGGCACATGGACTGTCATTCTGGCAGTAACACTGACAGACTGTAAAGTACCATCTATCTATCCGGCGCCAAAAGTGGAACGAAACAGCGCGACTCGTTTGAAGCGCGACACTCGGACCGTTTATCCACTCAGATAAAAGTTCAAACAGCTGTGCGGCACGGCGCGAGCTCACTAGAGCAGATGTGTTTACTCACTAAACAGCACTGTGAGATCCAGTGAGAAGCGTTCGGATTCAGCGAAGAACACAAATGATTTTAACTAGTTTAACGCTAGATGAAACCGCGCTGACAAACAGAAGAAACACTGTGTGCAACGATCCAGTCAGGAGACTTTTCAATCTACAAATCGCCATCATTTACCATAGATTTACTGTAGTAACACGAACTACACCATGGTATTGTGTCAGAAAGTGTGGGTATTTGTATCTAATTTTTATTATTATTAATGTAGACATGAATTAAATGAGTAATGGAGTATAATTACAGTATTTTTGTGATTAAGCTATAGTATGTGTGCATTTAGTCTATGCTAAATGTTTTTAGACTACAGTTTTTCATACAAATACCTAAAAACACACCATGGTATTGTGTCAGAAAGTGTGGGTATTTGTATCTAATTTTTATTATTATTAATGTAGACATGAATTAAATGAGTAATGGAGTATAATTACAGTATTTTTGTGATTAAGCTATAGTATGTGTGCATTTAGTCTATACTAAATGTTTTTAGACTACAGTTTTTCATACAAATACCTAAAAACCATATAGTTATATTTTTACCATGGTATTGAGGTGTGCTATATGTGTGGTTTTAACTGTGTTTATCATGATTTAAAGGTATGCTACTATGGAAGTCCAATTACTATTTAAAAAAAAAAACACTGAATAATTAAATTTCACCATATAAAAATGAGATTGCTACAATTTTTACAGATGTTACTTATTTTGATAATGAACAAAAATGTACATCTGTATCCCAGCTAGCTACTACTATCAAATGTGCATTTCTAAGAGACAAAAAAGTAATATTATTATTAATATTATCAGGCAACACAAACCCGTTTCTTGATTTGAAACAATATTACATGCAGAACATGCAGAAACTTAGAAACTTATTTTTCTATTAAGATATTTATTTTGTTAAGGAAACTTAATGGTCTGATTTCTACAACTTTCACTTTGGAGCCAAAATCTGGCTTTAAACTTGAAAGAAATAAAGATTTGACATTTATCGAGATAATTATCGATATCAACTGATATGAAAAAAATTATCGAGATAATTTTTTGGCCATATCGCCCAGTTCTAGGGCTAAGTAAAGAAAAGCTCACTTCATTGCTTTAAAAGTTCTGAAAGTGATTTCAGACATTTTGCTAAATTTCACACTTACCTGCCCTCTCTGTCAGGTAACAGGATATTAGTAAACCTCAATGTATGTAAATAAAGCATTTCTGACTGACCATGGGCTGTTTATGCTTCTCACAAAGACTACATCAGGTGCGATTTCTCAGGGCAACAATTTTACATCTGTCAGGTAATAGGATAATTATTATGTGTGTTATTAAAGAAGAACTGCTTCAAAATAAATCCTCAGGAGTGTCAGGGAATATTGGCTTCACATTGTGTCTCTGTCTGCGTGTAAACAAATAAATCAGGTCCTAAATCAGAGACGCAGAATTTCATCTCTGAGGGGTGTCGGGCTTCACCTGTCACTTTAGTCATTAGCTAAAACATCATCAGCTGCCACAAGCGGGGAGAGAACTGTCAAGATGTTTGTGATCCCGTTATCACAGAGCCATGTTCACACGCTTTCGGATACAGCAGCTGTCAGATTTCCACAGAATTTCTCCATCATTCTCTGAAACGGCACAGCCAGAGACAAGTGCATTGGGAAACAAGGAGAGCGGGAGAGAAGTAGCCCTTTCGTACACCACACATCCACCAAAAGTAACATCGGAGGCTTTTTAAAACAGAGACTCATGATTTAAAGGTATGCTACTATGGAAGTCCAATTACTATTTAAAAAAAAAACACTGAATAATTAAATTTCACCATATAAAAATGAGATTGCTACAATTTTTACAGATGTTACTTATTTTGATAATGAACAAAAATGTACATCTGTATCCCAGCTAGCTACTACTATCAAATGTGCATTTCTAAGAGACAAAAAAGTAATATTATTATTAATATTATCAGGCAACACAAACCCGTTTCTTGATTTGAAACAATATTACATGCAGAACATGCAGAAACTTAGAAACTTATTTTTCTATTAAGATATTTAATCAGTTAAGGAAACTTAATGGTCTGATTTCTACAACTTTCACTTTGGAGCCAAAATCTGGCTTTAAACTTGAAAGAAATAAAGATTTGACATTTATCGAGATAATTATCGATATCAACTGATATGAAAAAAATTATCGAGATAATTTTTTGGCCATATCGCCCAGTTCTAGGGCTAAGTAAAGAAAAGCTCACTTCATTGCTTTAAAAGTTCTGAAAGTGATTTCAGACATTTTGCTAAATTTCACACTTACCTGCCCTCTCTGTCAGGTAACAGGATATTAGTAAACCTCAATGTATGTAAATAAAGCATTTCTGACTGACCATGGGCTGTTTATGCTTCTCACAAAGACTACATCAGGTGCGATTTCTCAGGGCAACAATTTTACATCTGTCAGGTAATAGGATAATTATTATGTGTGTTATTAAAGAAGAACTGCTTCAAAATAAATCCTCAGGAGTGTCAGGGAATATTGGCTTCACATTGTGTCTCTGTCTGCGTGTAAACAAATAAATCAGGTCCTAAATCAGAGACGCAGAATTTCATCTCTGAGGGGTGTCGGGCTTCACCTGTCACTTTAGTCATTAGCTAAAACATCATCAGCTGCCACAAGCGGGGAGAGAACTGTCAAGATGTTTGTGATCCCGTTATCACAGAGCCATGTTCACACGCTTTCGGATACAGCAGCTGTCAGATTTCCACAGAATTTCTCCATCATTCTCTGAAACGGCACAGCCAGAGACAAGTGCATTGGGAAACAAGGAGAGCGGGAGAGAAGTAGCCCTTTCGTACACCACACATCCACCAAAAGTAACATCGGAGGCTTTTTAAAACAGAGACATAAAAGATTATTTGCAGAGGAAGATCAAGGCTACTGCACACAGAAAACCTCTCGTACAAAACCCAGTGATTGAAAAAGAGATATATCGTATCGATATCGATATATCGGCCGATATTCTTTGTGTATATTATAGCACAGTACCAATCAAAAGTTTTGACACTTTCCCATTTGTGTGTCCAAGCTTTTGATGGGTACTATATATAGAATACAGTATATACATAAACAGAATATATATACATAAACACATTTTTTGCAATGTTCACTCAAATGTGGTGATCAAACACTTATAATGGCGTGACAGAGATATGTAATGGAGGCAGGGCACTTAAAGGGATAGTTCAAATTTTCATTTTTGGGTGAACTATCCCTTTAACAATTTAACAATAAACTTTATTATGCAAAATGAGTCTGACATCAGTGCACTGAACAGTAAAGTGGAAGTTTATTCAACTTTATTTAAATTCAATTCCATTCAACTTTATTCCATTGAAGTTTATTTCACTCCGGAACATTCATTCACGGATTTGCACTACTGTCTTCACACACAGATGAAACTTACTAGAGAAGTGTGAATTGTGACATAATATACCTCTGTAAAGAAATACAATTTAAATTCACGTCTCACGCACTGTAATGCCCTTTGAATGCAACGTATACATTCCCTTCGAACTGGAATCATGGCGGAATATCAAGTTCAAGTTCAAGTTCATCAGCTGCCACAAGCGGGGAGAGAACTGTCAAGATGTTTGTGATCCCGTTATCACAGAGACATGGTGAATATCAAGTGAAGTCCACTTCACAGGGCACTTATGGTCGAATAAGACAACGCTTGAATGCTGCTGCCTGAACAAGAGACCTCCTTACTGAAGTGAAAGTGTTGGCTGGTGTCACTATCTCGTGAATGCGGCGGCCCGTAACTCCCGGACACCGGAGGCTATCGATGCGGAGGTGGTCTCAAATGGTCTCATATGGCTGTTCAAAGTTTCAATGGTATTCCATACCCTTAAGCTTTAAAGCGTTTCATCCAGATCGTCAGTAGCAAACAATGAAGCTGGACAAACTACGTAATTACACCATCTACAAGCATTTTATCTGCGTTTTATGTTCTGTAAAAAAAAATTCATATCGGTGGCATATGAATGATATGGCATATCGGCTGATAAAATCGGCAAAACGATATATCGGTTGGGCTCTAGTATCAAGTATTAACACAGTAGAATGTTCCATGTACAAATTACTTACACTATGTAAAACAATGGCACTTTTTACTAGAAAACCCAAACATCTGACATTCTGAGAGCAACAATCCACAAAACACCAACAAAAACCAGCACATAAACCCAAAGCATCAACAAGCCCCAGCTCAGGATAAGAAAAAACAACCGATTCATGAAAATATGTAACCAGCTGCTCATTAAAACCATCCTTGTGATTAGCATTTTGCAAAGAGAAAAGTGCTAATATTGACTTTCAACTACCTTTATTTACTTAGCAGACTATAGGTGCTTATTTTGGCTGACACGTTTTTTTTTTTTTTAACGTGTGAAAGCTGCTTTCCTTGTTCATTAGCGGCGAGTGTCTTAGCGGTCCTTGAATGCCCACACAAGGACACACAAAGGATGAATTACAGTGTTTCTCTCAGTGTCCTTGAGTCTCAGAACAGCATAACAGCAGAGAGAAACCCTGCACGTCCAGCACACAACACAATAAAACACATTAACTGCTGGGAAAATGCCAATGTCACTGCTGTGAAAGGAAAACACACTTGTTAGTGGTGTTTGCTGAGGTGTAGAGCTCACAAACTCCTGTCTGAACAAACCCCTAACCCTAAAGATGCGTCATATTAGTGAAAAATTGCAGGCAAAAAAGTACATTGTCTATTGTTAATGTTCTCACAAAGACGTCATTTTCAAATCAAGCAGCTTTTTGCCAGTCAACGAGTGGCGAATCTGCATGAACAACTTGAAACAATTGCGAAATTTGTGCTGTAAATCTTTCGCCCCTGTGCAAAATTCCCAAACGCATGGATTCCTATTGAAATTTTAAAGAAAATTTGTCAAATAAATGTCAACTGACTTTAAGGTAACTGTCATTTTAAGTATGAAATCTTGCAGCATAACTTCACAGATAAGGGTGTTCATATTCCAATATTAGTGTTCATATTCCTGACTTTGTATGAACTTAGTGTTACAATGGAATTATGGATCTTTTTATTGATCTTATGAGTATAAAATGTTGCACACTGTGAAGAAACAAACACATGCCTACACCTACACAAAGGGAAATCCACACTTCCAGTGAACTTTCCTCCATGAAATCCCAACAAGATCATCACACCCTACTTAAAATAACAACTTAAACCAGCCTTAGGTGGTTTGATGGTCTTAACAGATATATGCTGGTCTATGAGCAAGGATAAACTGTTCAAAAGTGTCCAAAATCCCTCTAAAACCATCAAAAATCTAGCTGGAAACCAGTTTAGTATGATGTCAAGACCACTTTAGGCTGGTTTAAACTCTTTTTTCCAGCATGCAAAAGCACAAAATTGCTCACAAATTACAATCTGACTGCTCTATAAAAGACTAAAAGGCTAAAAAGTAAAACCCTACCAAAAAAAAAAATAAACACAAAATGGTGCAATCATAGTATTGGATGGTAACAACATGGCACTCTGGATATATGATGATATGCATGATATTTACATGGTACTCTAAGGTATTTCAAAGAACACCATGGTACTATCACACAAAAAACAACATAGCATTACCAGAGTAAAATTCAATATATTAACAATTATGTCACTCTTGACTAGAAAACCCAAACATCTGACATTCTGACAGCAACCATTCAACAAAAACCAGCACAGAAACCCAAAGCATCAATAAGCCCCAGCCCCGGATAAGAAAAAACTATCCAACTGATCAATAAATTATGGAAAAAAAAGTGATTTAAGAAAAACGGCAGTCATAAACGCTTCTCACCAGGTGCAGCAGGTCATATATAGAGTCCGATGAGCGTTTGCTGTGTCGGTTGCTTTTGAGCACAGACATGACTGACTCGGGACCAGCAGAAACAGCCTCGGAGAGGAACACGCCGGCCCACCGTCACTGACGCTGGATCAGTTACAGGAAATGCCTCAGAAATCACAGATTCACTGCTGCAGCGCCCGACAACATCCCTCCGCTTATGACAAATAGAACAAATGACAGAGCAGAGAGAGAGAGAGAGAGAGAGAGAGAGAGAGAGAGAAAGAGAGAGAGAGAGAGAGAGAGAGAGATAACACCAGGCGCTCTTCTCTCTCTC